GACAATTCACACGCTGGTCCGCAATTGAACCTTCTCTATGATATACGTTCTCTGTTTTTTAGGAAAAACTGGACATGTCGCAACCATACCACTAGAACAACGCAGAGCAATAATTTCTGAGTGATAAACAACCATTTGTTAGCCATTTGTCTCTTAAGAAATAAGGAAAACCAATCGCCGAATGCGGGCTCTTACATATCGACTGAAACAACTACATTTTTGAGTGATCAAAACATTGATTTGAAGAGTCATCCAACGTTTAGTATGATTTGGCACCGAATGACTTCTCTTTATTCCCGTAAGTAAAAAATAAACTAAGAGGCGGTTGAAGCATTCAGAACGCATGTTTTGGAGATACCTCAGTCAGAATGGCAAATGAGCTTCGACAATTGGTTCAAAAGTTTATGTGTCGATCTTAATTGAGAATATTTTTCAAATTCCAAATATATAAAAGGCAACCCTCGTATTGGTTACTATTAGGCATGAATGTATATGTAAGTACATTTTTCCGTATAAATGAATACAAATTTGTTCGTATTTAATTTTATACTGAAATATGGACACAAGTATATATATTATATAATATCAAAAAAAGTGATTTAATTTAGCGATTAAAGCGTTAATATAAATTGATCTACTGTACAAAATATAAATTTTATTTTAATACATTAATTCTTAATCCCCGGGTCGATCGACGAAGCGAGCGAATGCCGTGAGAAAAGCCTCCTTTACAGAGCGCAATTTCCGCGTTCAGGTGGAAGTGCTGCCATAATCTGCGTGCGTATCTTTTACTATGCATAAGTAGAAGATCTTGCACATGAAAATGCATTTCTTTATTTGGGATTTAAGCCTTAGAATATAAAACTCTTGACGGACTATTTGTTACATGAGTCGATGTTCAGCTTTAGCTAATGGACATAGTTCAAGTATAATGTGGCAGGTTGCGATTTACCTGGTATAACTAAGAGATATAAGATTCAATTGGCAAGCCTACCATTCGCACGAAGAGGTTCTATCGTATATAGGAA